GTATTTATTTGTATTTAATTTCCTCTGTGACCCCTTGGTTATTCAGCAGTGTGTGGTTCAATTTCCATGTGTTTATGAAATTCTTGTGGTTTCTTTTGCTGTGAATCTCCAATTTCATAGCAGTATAGTCTGATAATATACAGGGGGTAACTTCAGTTCCTTTGCACTTACTCAAACACATTCTGTGAGTGAGTATGTGGTCTATTTTGGAGAATGACCCATGTGCAGCTGAAAAGAATATGTATTCTGCTTTTGTGGGGTGGAAGACTCTGTAAGCATCTGTTAAGTTCATTTATTCAAGAGTTTGATTGAATTCTAGTATTTCATTGCTTATTTTTTGTCTAGTTGATCTATCTATTTGTGACAATGGGGTATTGAGGTCCCCCACTACTATTGTATTAGTGCATATATGACTTTTCATGTCCATTGATATCTGTTTTATATAGTTGGGCACACTAGTGTTTGGTGCATATATATTTATGATTGTCATCTCTTCCTCTTGGATTGTTCCCTTTACAAGGATGTAGTGCCCTTGTTTGTCTCTCTTAGTCATTGTTAGTTTGAAATCCATTTGATCTACAAAGAGGATAGCTACTCTTGCCTTTTTTCATGTTCCCATCTCATGGATTATTGTTTTCCACCCTTTAACTTTCAATCTGTGAGTTCCTTTTTGAATTAAATGCATTTCTTGTATGCAGCATATTATTGGATTTTGCTTCTTGACCCATTCTGCCAGTGTATTTGTTTTGATTCCTGAACTGAGACCATTTACATTGATAGTTATAACTGATACGTATTGAGGTATCATTGTCATGACATTTTCTTTTTGTTGGATTCTCCCCCTTTACATTTAATTTCTTGTCTCGCCTGATGGATTCATTCTGCTGGGCTTCCTGGGGTTTTGATCCTCATTGTCTGTTCCTAGGATATTATCTAAAAGTTTTTGGAGTGCTGGTTTGGTAATGAAGTTCCTAAGGTGCTCTTTGTCATGAATTTCTCCATCAATTTTGAAAGATAGTTTTGCAGGGTACATCAGTCTGGGTTGGGGTCTCTTTTCCTTTAGGGCTTGGAATTCAACACTCCAAGCTCTTTTGCCTTGAAGGTTTGGGTTGAGAAATCTGCTGTGATTCTAATGACCTTTCCTTTGTATGTGATTTGTTCTTTTCTTTAACTGCTTGGAGTACTTTGTTCTTCTGTTGAGTTTCTAGAATCTTAGCAATTATATGCCTATGTGTAGATTTTTTTGATAAAGGCTATTTGTAGTCCTATATGCCTCACTTATCTGTGTGTCAGGTTTTTTTCCCATGCTTGTTTAGTTTTCTGCCATTACTTTTGTGAACAGTTTTTTTTAATGTCCTCTGTACTCTCCTGTTTCTTCTTTGGCTCCAGTCAGTCTTATGGTATTTTTCTTTGCATCATCTAGCAGCCACGGGATTGATTTCTCATGGGCCCTTACAATTTTGAAGCAGTTTTTCTTTGTCTGGTCATTAATTGCAATCTTATCTTCTGTATCTGAAATTCTGTCCTCACTTTGGCCCATTCTGCTGTGTAGACTTTCAGTGGAGTTTTTAATCTCTTGGAAATCTGTTTGTATCTGTTTTATGAATTCTATTTGTTTCCTATGTTGGGATTCCATCATGTTCCTCAGCTCCTCTATTTTTTTTATCTGTGTCCTCTCTAGCTTTATTAATCATGTCTTGCACTATGAGCACAATCTGTGCTGTTATCTTAGAGATTATTTTTGATTTCATTTTTTCAGATCCTCTTTTATTGCCAGTCCAGTTGAGTACCAGATTGTTCCATCTCGTTTCCCTTTGGGGTTGCTGTAGGTAATCTTGAAGTCTGGTTTTGAGACTCGTTTGTATGTCTTCTCATTTTGAAGGGGGTGGGGTATGGTGCTGTTGGCACCTGCCCGGCTCACCTCCTGTGCACTGTGAATGGTGGAAATGCTGCCTGCATGCCCCTTCGTCTGGGCTGGGAGTCATGGATAGGTGACCCAGAAGGCCCTTCCTCTGGGCTGGGATTGGTGGAACGGTGGTCTGGAAGCCCCTACCTCTGTTTTGGGAACAGTGGAAAGGTGACCCAGAATCCCCTTCCTCCTGGCTGGGAGCAGTGGAATGGCGGTCCGGAAGCCCCTACCTCTGTTTTGGGAGCAGAGGAAAGGTGGCCTGGAAGCCCCTTCCTCTGAGCTGGGAGGGGTGAAAAGGTGGCCCGGAAGCCCTTTCCTTGGGCTGGGAGCCGTGGAACCCTTTTTTATAAACTTTTAAGATTAAACATAATTTGAAAATGAAAGGCACCCTTTTGTAAATTAGGACTAATTTAGAAAAATCATTTAAATTTCTTGTCTGGGAAGTTCTAGAGTGTTCAGTTGACCAAACACCCAGTGAAGTGTAACAGAGTTGAGGCTAGAGTAACAGCTACGAATATGCTATTGTTGCCCAGAGTGTTTAATGGGGGAAACAAATTAATGGATTGTTTTAAGTTGTCAAAAATGTTACAGTTGGTAGATGTTCATGTTGTTGAGCGACCTTTCCCCTAGCCAACTTTATATTGTAAGCTCAGTAAGCACTTTCAGTTTTCTTGGAAAAGTAGTAGTAAACTTTCAAGTACTATATTTTGATATATCTTGAATAGTATAAATTTGCTTTTGTTATCATCTTTAGGTCGGTAGAGTCTATGATTTGAGTTAAATATGACTTTCCCAGTAGATATCTTTTAAAGTGTAAGCTTCAAATGCAAATAAAAGTAGGACCTTGTTCAAGGTTAGTTGTCTTTTTTTTTTTCTTTAGTCAGAAATTGTACGTCTTAGGTGTACTTAGAAAATATTGCCTGCTCCATAAAAGATTTCTGTTGCCATCCCATTTTGTATATATCAGCAAAAACTTTGCTCTGATAGCTTTATAAGGACACATGTAAGTACTTGGTTTTAGGCAGGAAGCTATCATAGTTGCTAGACACATTCTTTATTTTGGTGCATAAATTTGAAAAATGAAGAACAGAAATGTCAGAAAGTATATAGAAGATATTGAATTATCAACCTTCTTGTCCAGAGACACTAATACATTTACCCTAGGGAATGAAATTAAGTATAACCTCAACTTTAACTGTGTTGCTTGACATTTTTGTGTGTAATTTTGTAAGTGTAATATTGCTGTAGCAACTCTTTTTTTGGAGAAGCAGGCAATTTTATCAGTTTTTATAAGGTATGCTTTCAATGGAGACTCGTTTTATCCCCGAGGCTATAGTGATTTTAGTGTAGATGTTATGAAAATGCTAAAGCAAAATTATGTTTTATCTGATCCTTTCATAGGCAACAGTGTACAAATTTATCTCTTTGGTAAGAAATGCAGATGCTTTCAGTATAGCCGAGTTGATCTAATAAATTTTCCTAGCATGTACTAATTATAAATAATTGTTATGTTAGCCTTTTCTCTTGTCCCCTAAATAATGTGTTTTGTTTCTGAATTTTAGTCTAGATGTAGGATAGTGTATGTTAATATTGTTAAACGGCTTCTTCATTCTTACTCTCATAAGAAGAAATTAATTCCTTTTCTTTCACTGTAGCCATGAACTTTGTCTTAGTTGTAAAAAAAAAAGGGAAAAAAGAAAGTGACCTCAAAGATTTTTGATGCTGGGAGAGTGGCAATATTTAATATATGATATTGACATAGGCATTCGACATATAAAGGAAGATTTGACAGGAGTTGGTTCAGCACTTCATTCAACAAATATTTATTGAGTTTAATTATAAGTGTAAGGCACTTGAATCATGATGAGTAAAATAGAAGAGGTCTCACATTTATGAGCTTCCAGGTTGGTGAATGTTATTGAGGCATGTGATACATTTTAATATTTTCATATTACAGCATGATAATTACTGTGGTGGAAGCACCCTATGTGGTGTATAATCAATCCTACCAGAAGGGTTTCTCATCTAGTTTGAGGGCTCAGAGAATATTTACCCAAAGATGATAACTAGTGTGAAAGCTGAAGGATCAGTATGAGATAAGAAGTTGAGATAACCACGGAAGAGTTGAATGCAGATTTATGTTGAAATTCTTGTAGACATTTCAAACATAACATAGCTGTCATAGTTTGGACATGGTGTAATGTGTCCTTCCAAAGGCCTTTGTATGAAAGCTTGGTCCCCACGGTGGCACAGTTGGGAAGTGGTTTGACCTTAAGGTGTGGGGTTGGGGTGATGGGGGCATGAAGTGGTTCTCTGTTCAACGCCTTCATTCCTTGGCAGAGGGAAAGGAGTGATATAGAGGAGTGAGCCTGGCACTTCCCATCCTCTCTGCTCCTGGTTCATGGTGTACTCAGTGCTTGTTTCCACACACAATCCTGCCATTGTTGTCTGTACCATGAGGTGCTGTAGCCAAGGAGCAGCTCTGCCACAAAGCCGGGGCCAAGCCATTTGGCTAGCCTGTGTCATCTGTTCTGTTATAGTGATGCGAAGCTAACACAATACCTACAAACAAATTCATCTCTCTTCTCCCTAAAAATGCTTTCCTTCCCTGCATTTTATGACTTTTTAACTCCATACTACAATACTTTATTTCCAGCATAAAAAACCACACAACACTCTAGTCATCTTAGATATACTGTTCTCATTTATTCTTTTTTTCAGTCAGATAGAAACTTCTTTGGAGTGTCTGGTCCCATTTTCTTTCTGTTACCCTCTCTTCTACCTCAGTTCAGGCAGACCCTCAGTTCTTGCATGAACAACTGTAAGCACCTCTCAGCTAATTTCCATGCCTCTAGTGTTTCCCTTTCAATTCATCTTCCACACTGCTGCCGGATGGTGTTTTTCAAAGTGCAAATTTGATCACATTATCTTCTTAGAATACATACTCTCCTAGCCCTCCATGATCTTTAGGAAAAATGAATAACTCTGTGGTTTATTACAAAATTTCTGTTAACAGTTTCATTCCTGTATATATCTCTGGTTTCATCCCTGCAGTTTGTTTTCATACCTCCTTTGTGTCCCCCTCACAAAGGATTGCTTTTCATTCGACTGGGCACTGTGCTATTCCCTCTGTGTGAAATGATAGCTGCACTTCTCACCGACTGCTCTGCTTCTTCAGACTTCATGGTCAGCACTGCTGCTGCAGGAATCATTTACTGGCTCTCAGTCTCATTCGACCTTTATTGCTGACAGTTTTCATGGATTTAGGGATGACTATTTACTTTTACTTCACCATCAGACATTATGCTTACTAAAGCTCTGACTGTGTTCTTTTCAACTCTCTTTTCTCCAACACCTACCACTGAGGGACATATCCAAGGCGTGCTGTTAGATATTTATTGTATAATGGAAATAATGTAGTTTTGGTCTAGATCCCAGAGGGTCCTTAGACGTTAATGATTGTAGTTGTGCCTCTAAAGGTTTGACTAAAGGAATCATATTATTTGAACTGTCTTTTACAAAGAATAATCATATTTAAAACAAGGTTTCTAGAAGGGAAGATCGTTTTCTTTTCACTTGTCATAAAAATTTTCATTAATAAATTGGAAATATAGTTATAGATATATATGGAGATATATATATATATTTATGTATTGATATATGGATTTATTTATAATGGTGATAGGGATTTGGAAGCTGTTAGTCTATGGATAGTGATTGAAAAAGATACAATTTTATGAGCAATGTAGAGTGAGGAAATAGTCTTGTAGCGTGCCAGTATTAGAGGGTTGGATTTTAAGCAGTATGACATCCAAATTAAAAATTGGTAGAAGCAGTCAACAAGTAGCAGGAGAACCAGAAGACTGTTGTCATGGGAGGGACCTGGAGAAGAGAGGTTGAGTATGGAGGCATATTTATAAGTGATTATGTGTAGAACAGGCCTGGCTACCGTGGGAGACGAAAATGTTTCACAATCTGTGCTGTTCATCATGGAAACCATTGGCACCATTTGTGTCTGTTGTGTACTTTAAAATGGGCAGCATGATTGAGTACTTGAACTTTTTAACTTTATTTACATTTAAATAACTACTTGTGTCCAGTGGTTGTGATATTGAATAGCACACCTAAGGAGAGTTCACCCAATAAGAGGCTATGAGGAATCCAGGGGATTTGGAATTTGGTAAATAATGTTTTTTTGCAATGTTAGAATGATTGCCAAGTTGTATTGGATAAAAAAATGCATGAAGTTCAACCTTGGAGAAAAGTGAATTTGGGCTAAGAACGGCCTAAAAAAGTGACTGTGAAGCAGAGTCGGATTACATTAGAGGGCTCTTAAGGGGTCAGATGAAGAACAGATGTACAGAGGGGTGAAAATGCAGCCAAGGTGGTGCAGTTGATTTAGCAGGTCCCTGGGGAAGCACTGGGTAGCAGAAGCAGCTGGGTTTATCCTTGGTGCCTGAACATAGTTGCTTTGTAGATAGTCATTTTATTCAGTTTAAGATTTGTGTCTATTTAGTTATTTCATGGTAGGAAGATTTTGATTGGAGGAGCCATAGTACTAATGTTGTAGACTGAGTGAAATGAAGGCTGTTCAGATGGTTTTCATCTGTTAGTATTAGTTATCTTCATAAAGGAGCTAAAGGATAGGAACCAGGATCCATAGCTTTCAGTTTACCTTGCCCACTTATAAAGCGAGAATTAAAATATTTCTTTTTTCACAGAGTATTGGTTATGACATTTAAAAATGCAAGAATTTAAGATAGCATAGTATAGTGATACCTACATGCCCATGCTTGTTGTAGCATGATAAAGAATAGCTAAGCTATGGAAATAGCCTAGGTGCCTGTCAACAGATGAACTGAAAAGAAAATATGGTGTATATACACAATGGAATATTAGTCAGCCATAAAAATGAAATGTTATTTGCAGGAAAATTGATGGAATTTGAGAAGATCATGTTAAGCAAAATAAGCCAGATGCAGGAAGTTGAATATTACATATTTTTCTCATACGAAGAACCTAAAAAAATTAGAGGGAGATTAAAAGGAGAGATGATAGGAATATGGCTGTAGGAGATGAGGAAGGGGATGAGGAGGGAGAAGGGAGGAAGCAAGAAGGGATAGTAAGGGGCTGGAAATAATCAAAGCATGTTATATTCATGTACTGGTGTACCACGGTGAAACTCGTTCTGCATAACAAATATGTATTAATACAAATTTTAAAAATAATAAGGTATGGGGAGACCATATGCATGTGTGGGGCCATGGAGGAAATGTAGTATATATAGTTTGCTCCATTTTACTATGAACCTAAAACTGCTCCAAACATAGCCTATCAAAACAGAAAAGTGTTATCTAAACAGTTGTGCAAAGTAGTGTGGGTTTATTTGAATAACTCAGGCTTTGAAGGCAGAAAAATCTGGCTGTGAAATCTCACAGCTTTTACTAGCTGTAGAGTAGTAGCTATCGCTGTGTTAAAAGCAATATAAGGTTTCCCTTTGTAAACTAAACAAAAACAAAGGCCCTTAGTAAACTGTTCAGTTCATATTGCTATTTTTTTTGGTTGAGTTTTAACTGTATTTAATATCTAGAAGCCTACATTTGTGAAACAGTTACATCTTTTTGCAGTCATTTGATTCTTTTCTTTTTAAAAAGGAGCCAAATACTTATTTTTAATTATGAGATAATACCTTACTTAAATTCTCTCAGGAGAGGTTTTCAGTCCTTGTGATGGGAAAGTGAAACTATCTGAATGCAAGATGAGAACTTGTGATGAGTGGTTAAATAAATTAGAAAACTCAGTGGATTCGCCAAATTTTATTGTTTACCTTTCTCCCAGAAGATAGTATACTAGGGACTTTGAACAATTAATTTACTGTTTATCTCTCAGAGATAGAAGGAGCTGTGTTGTGATAAGAAAAAGTCTATAATTGATGCATTTATAAAGTGGAGGTGTTTGTTAACAAAAGTTTAAATGGAATACTTTTAAATCATGTTGATAAACTTCAGATATGTTTCAAGTATAAATTTTTGCAAGTGGGAGGCAAGGAACTCAATACAGTGCTTTGCTCTGTATTATTTTACACAAAATTACAGTGATATTTAGGGACTTTTAAGTAAAATGCCAAGGTCATTGATAACTGTGGACCCGTTTGCTCTGTGGCAAGAAGAAGGTCACAGACTCCATCTCTGGTTCTTTCTGTTCCCTTGAGAATGAATGATTTTGGTGGGACCTGCAGAGACCTAGACAAAGGCTGTGTGTCACTTATCAGAAATCTACTGTTTCTTTTATAAGTTGATTCAAAAATGTATATCCTATTGGCACATCATTAGTCATATTTTTATATGAAGAATATTGCTTTGCATTTTCATTTTCCCTTCCCTCCTCTCTCTCTCTTTTTCCTTTTCAGTTTGAAAAGGAGTTTACTGACCACCAAGAAACTCAGTCTCAATTGCAGAAAAAGGAGGCAAAGATTAATGAGCTTCAAGCAGAGTTACAAGCTTTTAAAGCACAGGTAAAATACCATTTGGAGTGAATTTGGTATTGAAACCACACCAGGAGAGTAAAGGTCATGTTAGATCTTCATAGCATCAAAGTGTTTAAACTTTAATTTTCCTTTTTTGGTGTAATTTGTATGTGCTTCTACTTTGCTATGTGTACATTTTTAAAAATTACTTTGCCATCTCTTTTTCAACTTATAATTTTAGGAATATCTAAGCTTTACACTTTAAACTGCTTTTTTCTGTTTCATTTAGGTTGTGTTTCTGATGTCTCATGTTCCTAAGTAATTAAGCATAAAGGTTAAGAAAATCTTTTACTCTTAGATTTGTCATTCATCACTGATCTTTATCCGACTACAGGAAATTATTGCTCAAGCTATTTATTTTTCAAAACCTTCAGCCTATGGGTACCTCGCAGTGAAAGATAACCTCCAGCTGAATGAGAACATTTTCTGATAATTTTTCAATTTCCAAAAGTAAACAGATTTAAAACATGACAAAAAAGAGCAAATCTGGATTATGAAGCAGATAGCTCACATCCATGCTCTACACATAAAACATTATATAGCAAGAAATACTTCACTTGCATGTTTATGTGGATGGAAGGAAGGAGGTAGAATTCATAGCTGAATTTCTTCACGTAGATTTATATACAGTAAGCAGTAAGTATAGTTTTGCTGTGATAAAGTCCAAGTAGTCTCAGGTATACTGTTTCCTATATTATTGGCAATTTTGTTTTCTGTTATGTTTTGTTACAGAAGTGATTTGAAGATACCTTAAGAGATAGCTATATCTTAGTGTTCAATTTAATTATACAATCAAAACCTGTCTACAAGATAAATACTTCTTTAGTGCTGTGAGAAGAAAGTACTATATTTCATTGTGATTTTTCACCTTTCCCATATGGCTCCTTATTTCATATTAAAAGAAACATTTGATTGTGTTCTGTATTTCAAATCAAATTGATTTATAGACTTTGGCTACAATATTTTTGACAATTTTTTTCATGCCCTGGGCTAATATAAATATAAGAACCTTTTTTTTTTTCTTTTAAATTTTTGCCAGTAGAAGGATTACTTTCCAATCTACTCTACAGAAATCCAAATTTTAAAAAATATGCCCATTATCTTTGGATGTTATTGCTGCAAAGTGCTTTTATATAAAATGGGAATAAATTTATGTTTCAAAACTGAAATTAAGGAATCTTATAAATTCTTTTAAATTGTGCACAATAATGACCTGTGATTGTAGCTAACAGGGAAAAGCCTGGAATTAGAAACTTAATATTGTTCACACATTCAGCTTTGAAGAATAATTGGCAAACTTTTTCTTTGGGTTTTTCTTTGTATTTCTCATGAAATGTCTGCATTTATCTTAACACTCTTCTCTTTAATCAAAGCTAGTTGAGTATGAAGATGATGAATAAAATATGCCCTGTTATCTGTGATTTCCTTCCTTTAGTCACTTATAGTTGTAAGCAAGATAGTTACAATGTACAGTGTGCCTGCTCCTGAAACATATTTAAATCATTCATACTTTATCAAATGAATGATTCTGGAACACATTTTCAGCCATACTTTTCAGACAGTACTTGTTAACTACAAAATGTACAGGAATTAGTATAGGTTATATTCATCTCTGATGTTCCCAGGACAGTCCCACCCTTGATCACAGCAACCCTGGGTGGCAACCCTGGGCTCTTTATCACACTTAATGGTTTCAATAAGGCATGCATTTTCATTCCCAGTCTCCATTTCTTTCACAACAGTTTTTCTTTGTGCTCATAGCATAGCATTGATTTCAGGCTTTCACATGTGATCTATTTTTCATAATTGTGTTACAAACATTTTAAAATAATAGTTTATAAATGTCTTCCATTTGCAGGGTAGTTCTCACGCATATTACACACACACATACATGTTTATATGGGTTAGAATTGAAATTAATAATTTCAAGAAGTTATTTACCTAGAAAATTTTCTGTAGGATCCAGTTTCATCAACTAAATTCTTACCATACCATGGAATCATAGACAGAGGTGAACAGTGAGCACAGTTGGCTCTTTTCACTCCTCATTTTACTTTGTTTCTCTTTAGCATTGAACTTTGTAGAAGTTTTCTGTAGCTGTGGGACAATCTTTTCACTTGTGGTTTAAGATGCTGTGCTTGCCTTTTTCTTTTCCTGTCTTTATCTGAAACATTTTTTCAGTGGCTGTCGTCTGCCATCACTGCCTTAGGTGATGGGGAAAAAAAGTGAATAATGCAACATAGTCACCACCCTCATTCAGCTTAAAATGTATCAAAGAGGTAATTGCTAATGATCCCTTGGATAATGATTTTATATTATTGAGAAGAGCTGTTGAGAAATATAGGGTGCTATGAGTGTAAAATGAGTGGGAAGATCAAAATTTGCTGCAGAAGGGACACGGTGGCTCAGCCTGGAGAAGTTGGTAAGCAATGTCCAGGTGAAGGGAATGTTTCAGGCAAAGGGGAATTACCAGGCATATGCTCTGATGGCAGTATGAGTTTGGCACATACATGGAATTAGAAGAATATTACTTGAAAGACTAGTTTGTATGAATCAAACCATGACAAACCCCTGAAGGCCCTACTAAGAATTTTAGATTTTTTACTTGGAAGTGATCAATATAGCTATCAATAGATAAATGGATAAAGAAAATGTGGTATTTATACACAATGGAGTACTACTCTGCCATAGGAAGGATGAACTTGAGTCATTTGTAGGAAAGTGGATGCACTTTTTTCTTTCTTTCTTTTATTTTTTGACTCATAAGGTCTTGCTATATAGTTCAGGCTTGCCTTGAACTCACTATGTAGCCCATGCTGGCCTTGAACTTGCTCCAATCTTCCTACCTCAGCCTCCTGAGTGCTAATACTATAGGTGTGCACCACATGTCTGGCTTGGATGGATCTTGAAACTACAATGTTAAGTGAAAGAAATCAGAAACACAAGGTTAAATATCAAATGGTTTCTTTTACATGAGAAACCCAAAATTTAAATAAAAAGTAAAATATAAGATAATGGGAAGTAGAAAAATAGATCTTTTACAAAAGGAAGAGGATAAAGAGATGGAGGGAAGGGGAAGTGAGGAGATGAGGATAAAAAACAATTAAGAGGTATTATGTACACATACCAACTTCCTATGAAGAATAATATTGTGCTCTTCAAACATGCCCTAATTTAAAACATTTGAAAATATAAATTTAAAAAATTTTAGATATTTTCTTCAAAATGCATTAATATACCATTGAGAAAATTTGAGCAAAGGCATGATGTGGAAATATCATTTAAATCTTTTTTTTTCAAATCTTACTTTTTTACTAATCACTTAGTGATTAGTGCAAGTGTTCCACAGAATTCTGTGCACAGATATTCTCTCACTGAGTGAATTTATTGCTTTCAATGTCTTTGCTGTCTCCCAGAGACAGCTGCTTTTCCAGTCCTATACATCTATACCCATTTCTCTCCTGGGCATGTCCACCTACATAGCCTTCACTATATGAAGTGGTGAGTTATATTTTTGACAACTACATTTTCTTGAGAACAAAAGCTAAAATTATTTATTACATTGGAATTACTTTTTAAAAAATTTGTGTTTTGGTTAAATCGTGAAATTACTGATAGTTATTTTTGGTTCAAAATAATACCTTTTTTTCCTGTAAAGCATACTTTTATATCTATAAAATTGTTCTTGGTTATGTTCCTTATTTTCTCCTCTAGTTTGGTGCCTTGCCAAGTGACGTGAAAATTCCTTTGCTCCAGTTGAAAGAAGATGGGACTGGCCAGGCGGCACTTCCTCCTCCCCCTCCCTCGCCCTCTTGTGGAGGGGTACCACCTCCACCACCCCCTCCCCCACCTCCACCACTCCCAGGAATGCTTGTGCCTTTTGGTGGTCCTGTGCCTCCACCACCTCCCCTGGGGTTTCTTGGTGGACGAAACTCTCCTCCCCCACCAACTCTACCATTTGGGTTGAAACCCAAGAAAGAATTTAAACCCGAAATCAGCATGAGAAGATTGAATTGGTTAAAGGTAAAACACGTAAAAAAAGGAAAACATACTTCTACCTTGATGAAAATTTAATTGCCTATTGTATAATTTTCAATGGGAACCTTAGTCAAAGTGATAATAAACAATTTTTTTTTCTAAAAATAGAAGTGTTGATATCCCTTTGCAGTTGATTAAACCTTTCTGGCTTATGAATTTGGCAACAGTTGATCTTTTAGTGGGATTTGATTTGTAATTAAATTGATAATTCATCATTATTGGAATGGAACCCTATATTTATGACATGTTTTTGAAAAAGTACAAAAATGTTAGTGTTTTTAGGAACTGTTCCCTGCTGGTAGCCATTGGAGAAAATATAAGTAGTTGTCAGAAGCTGATATCTACCTAAGTCACAAGAACTCTGAGTCCTATAGAAAGATAGGTTCATGGCCACATAAACATGGGATATGCTGTGTAATGTATTCTGGCCTTCAAGAGGCAGAGTGCAGTTGGGTGTCAGTAATCACTCTGAGAAACAGAATTGAGAAGAAATAAATTCAGCTTTATTTCATTCAGCTTCAGATCACCAGCTGTTGATCGTGGAAACTTTTCCTCTTAAGATCTTAACATTCCTCAGAATTTGTATTTCATCGGACAGACTTAGGGGAAAAATCTACAGAGATTACTTCATAAACATCTGTTGGCAGCTATGGGACGCTGGGTCTGTCCGTAGTGATTGGGCTGGGACAGGTGAAACACCCAGCTGTTTATGCATCAGTCTTCCCTCTGATTGCAGATCCGACCTCATGAAATGACTGAAAACTGTTTCTGGATAAAAGTAAATGAAAATAAGTATGAAAATACGAATTTGCTTTGTAAACTTGAGAATACATTTTGTTGCCAACAAAAAGGTAAGTTTAATGTCTTTGTTATTACTTTATTGGAATTTTAACTTTGCCTCTGTTATATACCAACCCCTAAAACTCCTTATTTTAAACATCCTATACCTCAAATTTTTTCATTACTATAGGTAAATAAGCTAATGAAATGAGATATGTAAGTGAATTTTGTTGGACAGTATATCAAATGAGCAACTTAAAAAATACAAATGAATAATACAAACTTTGATTCTTTAATTTTTCTCTACAATAGTTTTTTTTAAAAGTGCCATTGGAGATTAGAGTTTTCTTAAAGAAGGACATTTTCAGAGACTAATTTGGCATCAAAATTTCTTTAGTTTAAAAAAAAATTGTGAGCCTTCCTCTAATCAGAATTTTGTGACCTTTTATTATTACAATGACTGTCACTGTGTGAATCACATGGTACAGAAATATCATATTTACAGTGTCTTTAAAGTTAGCTTGAAAGAAAATTATTTGAGTATATTATATCATCTTTTTGTTAAAAGCAGTCGTATTCATTTTCCAAATTGTTTTGTGATAGCTTTAACTTGTATGGTATGATTTTTAAAAAAATTAGATTATATTCAACTCTGAAAATTGAATTTATTTAATCCAGTCTCATAGACCTGCCCTTTACATTTTAAGTCTAGTATCTACACATATTGTTCATTTTTAAGTATTATGTAAAGCTTATAGTTTTGGTTTGTAGCACAGGGAAATTAAGATCAATCATTGCCTTTTTTTTTTTTTTTTTTTGGTACCGGGGATTGAACCCAGGACCTTGTGCTTGCGAGGCAGGCGGCGGAACCACTGAGTTAAATCCCTGGACCCCAATCATTGCCTTTTAATGTTCAGAAAAAAATGAAACTTTTTCATTATAGACTTACACGTCTTTATCCCTGGGCTCACTGAAGACAGAGAGATCTGACAGGGAGAGATTATACTGAATGAATGGAGGTGCTGGGGTTTAGTTTTGAGAGAGAGAGAGGAATTGACTTCTTAAAAGGCCTACTGTTTAGTAGGCATTATTCTAGAGATGACTCAGATACCTGATTAAATTTGATCTCTACAACCAACCAAAGAACATTGGCAGATACCTTAAAAAATTCATTTGTATTCCTTTTGTAAATTGGAAACTCTTTCTGAAAAAACAGTTGTAATTTAGCAACACTTTCTAAAAGGTAATTGTAGAATAAAGTAGCTTTCTAGAATTTGTAGTAATTCAAAATTCTTTACCAGGCACCAGGTATTTCCGAGCAGCGTTTGTCTTGACTAAAATATTAAAATGAAATTTTGTGGTCTTTGAAAGCAGGGAGAATTCTCAGCAGCCTCACCATAGCAAAACTTGTGAAGTAAGCAGATCTTAATTTTACCTTTTGATTATGGAAAATCAAAATTTTCTTTGAATAAGATTAGTTGCACTCTTTAAGCAATCAAGGAGACTGTGGCAGTTAAAATATGTATTTACATGTAAAACACTTCAGAATTTCAGATTTCCTAATCTGGAATTGATTAGTTTTCCCTTTGCTTTGCTAGTAGGTATAAATGGTGGTATCTAAAAGCTATTTAAGTAATGCTGCCATCCAGCTAGTCTTTCTTTTTTCCCCTCTTTACTCTGATTACTTTCTTAATTAATGAGGCTCAAAAGGGAAACTTGTTAGCATGTCTTTAATTTAGCTGTAGTGTTAGCCCTAAATGAAATAATTGAACCTTTAAAAAATTCTTAAGTCATCTAACTTTAGCCTTGAGATTCAAGGTTAAAAAATGATGTATTTGCTCAGTCTAATAGTAGTTAAATAGATTAAGGTGAAAATTGAACATTTTCAAAATATTCTTCCATCCCTCCTGGGGCCCTCTTTCCTTTGTATGATATGCTGCTCCTTGGTCTAGTATCTCTCTGGCTTGCCTCAGAACCTTTCAAAGGATCGCAGCATCTTTTGTCTCCCCTCAAATACAGCTGTAACATTTATGTGACTGTGGATGATATTTTTAGGGTGAATAGAAAAGATTGGGAAGCCCAAGGTTGTGGCCCTGAGCATTGCCATCATTTTATAATGCCAATCAAGATGGGTTATAACTGTGACAATTTTTTTCTGCATTTTTTGGAATACTTCCTAGAAAGCATTCTATGATTGGTCATAAGTATACTTTTTGGCATTACTGGTAGTTAAATGTTTAATTGGAAAAGGCCAGTCACTGCTGCTTTTAGAGAAACAGAATTTGATACTATAGATATTTAATGGGAATGATTACAAGAGAAGGAAAGAGATAGATGTTCAGGAAGCCTGTATAAGAATGTGGACTGTTGGAGTGAACAAGTTACTCCCTCTTGTCTCTTTTCTTTATGGCCTGGTTGCTGAGGCATTGGGTCTAAATGTTAGCATTTGTTCATGTCCCATGGACCCAAAGGTTTTGATATACTTTAAAATTTCTAAAGATTCAGAATTAAATGTAGCTACTTACACATTATTTGGTCCGAGGTGAAAATCCAGTTGCCTATCCACTCCTTAACATGCAGTAGGAGACAGAGGCTTTGACTGCTGGATAATTTTAATCATTGGTTTGCATCATGATTAGTCCAGGAAAGACAAAGAATTCAGATTGCTGAAGAATGTGGTGGCTTAAAAAAATGGTCTGTCTCTGTTTTCTATTGCAGTAACTCTTTGGACTAGGAATTGGGGCTGGGTTTTTTTGTTGTTGTTGTTTGTTGTTTTTTAATTTCAACATGGATGTTCCAGCCCAGATACTTACAATAAGTGCTTCCTAAGCATTCGATATGCTATAATAGTATGAATAAGGACACTGAATATAATCATTTAAATAGAACCTTGCAGTTTTCTCACATATCTTGTATTCTTTTTTGTCAATATTAGTAGGTCTTTTTTCTTTTTTTTTTTTTTTTATCCGTGTAGCAGGTTACCAGAACTTTTATTACTGGGGTTTCTAGGTCTAGGTCTAATATTTCTAGGTCTATTTCTAGACCTATTTCTGGGTCTAATGTTCTTAGAGTTGGAGAAGGAAGAGAAATTAATAATTATCTATTGAGCACTATATTATACCAGTCCCTGGAGCTGGATCTTCTTTATATCACCTTGTTTAATCTTTACCGTACCTGTTAACTTCCTTATCCTTTATTTTAAACTAATTTCCCCACGACCATTTATAACATTTTCCTTCACAGGGAAAGTGCTGTGTACCATATCTTAAGAAGTATAGGAAGCTTCTCTAAGTCTTGTCCTGTGTAAAATCAACATTTCCCCCAATTTTCTTGTGTTGTTGTTCTTTTAAGGTTTATATTTCTGTTAAGTATCTCACTTTGGCTTTCTTGCTTCTTTCTTTTCTAAGTTTTTGAGATACCTCTTAGCTTTCCATATTTTAAATTCTCCCAGAAATGTGACATTTTTCCAGGTCACTTTTCTCAGTCCTTCTCTTTCACTTCTCCCACCTTCTCTTTCTCTTTGTTCTTGGCTACCAATGTTCAAGTCAGCGTTCAAGTGTATATTGCGTACTTGGCTTTGTGTTGGCACTGAGGACTCTGAAATGAGCAAGGCAGATGTGGTCCTCATTGTTCATGTTGCTTGTATGCTAGTAATGGAACTGAGTAAAGTTCCTAGTTGAAACATAAGAATGAAGAGTGAAACAACAAATAAATTATTTTGATTTTGGAAAAGATACCATATTTTACTATCTTTGGCTTCTGTTAAGCTTTAACAAGGTTATAAAAAGGACACTGTTTATATTTATATATATATCTGGAACTTAATCATAATACTCATATATTGAACATTTGGTATCATCAAAATAGTGTTAATGACCTATGTATTTTTTACCAGATTGGAAGCATCTGTTGGTTAATTTTTACAGGCTGTTGGAATGTGGATTAAAGTATACTAACAGGTTATTGGTGTTGGATTTGTCAACTAAAATGAATATTAATTACTTTCATTATTCACAAACTGTTAACTTAATAGGATTAAAGGGCTTTCTGGAAGTATATGGATATTCTAATTCACTTAGACTGATTTATTATGGAAATCTAGGTCCACAATTGTTAGCTTTTTGAAATGATCCCATTTATAACAGGTGTGTCGTATTTGCCAGACAGAGCCAACAAACCAGTTTATAAATAATCTCCCAATTGAATTGTTATGGCATATGGAAACGGTTAATGGATTATGCACTTAAAAACAAATCAAGCTTAAATTTCTTCCATCATAGTTCAGTGGGCAAAGTATTGGGGTAGGAAGCGTTAAAGAATGGATTTTCCCAGTGACTTGCCTGTGTTCAAGATACCATTTTGTATTTGAAACACAGTTTATTTCTGCAGAGGTTTATGAAAAGTCCTAGTTTACCTCATAAGTCTACATTAAGATATATAATAGAAATATGGTCCATGCAAATGCATGTAAGCAGATTATGCCAAAATGAACACCACGTATCTTACATACCTTAAAAGTTTCTGAAAATAACATTTGAGAAACACTAATTTGGAAAGATTGGGGAAGCAGTAAATGGGGAATTAAATATTTCTCTAGGGATAATCTCTTGTTTTTTCTCTCTGACTGAATCTCAGAAGAACTGAAGCCAAGTGAGTGGAGAACGTCTTGTTTCACCATTAGAAAACATCACATTGTTACTAATTATGGTGTATTCTCTGTTGAGTTGCTGGAGAAATGAAAATTTATTCTTAAATCCTCATAGAAATAGAATCTAAGGGGAAGAGGCTTAAGAAAGTGGGTTTATTTAGCCTGGAGCCATAGAAAACTTTCAAGTTTACATAATGCTTCAGTTACATGCTTAGTTGTATAGGAGATCTTTGATACAGAGTGATAAAAATTTTATAAGCCTTTCTTGTATAGTGTACAGGAAAGGAGGAGGCTTGATGTGCGGATATTGTTTTATGTGCATAAATTTTTGTTTCTTCCATTGCAGAAAGGAATGGTATTAATGCAGTGGGCTTGACTGGAGTCACTTGTCTGGTGGTAGATTGGAAAATACTATCTCTCTTC